TGAAAAGATAAAAACACATTTGAAACAAAAATGTCAAAAGAGATATATAAGGTTATTTTGAGAAAAGAAATGGCCATAACTCCGGCATATCCTTGCAGATCCTTGCAGGACATGGTGCGTTAGGATCGTGGGGACCAACTGCATCGAACTGCATCAAAACATTATGGGGTCATCTAAGAATCCTGGACTTGGTAATTTTTTAGTCGCGGGCCGCAAGCAAAATTGGTTAAAATCATCAAATTACAGTAAAATCGCGATATCTCTGAAACTATAAGGACGATCTTAATGTAATTTGGCCAGATTGTAGTCCTGGTCAATACAATTTTTTTGACACAGGACTCGTCAGGATACGCCAGGATATGGCCGAGTTATAAGCTATTTTCGGTTGACTATTTTGTCCTTAAAACTTTTTTGTCCGAAGGACTTTCGTCCTTTGGATTGTATATTCGTAAATGGGATGATGAGGACTATCTACTGTCCAAAGGACATCGCGATAGTCCTTCAAATGGCAAAGTTAGTCTCGAATTTTTCGATTTTTGGCAATTTTCTGACTAAACCCCTGTGAAAATTTTTCGTGAAATTTTTTGTCGAATTCTGGAAATCCTTGAATGCTAATCGATAGTCCTGCTCCCCACGACTTCAGAAAGGTATATCCTTCGGGTATCCTCAAGGATATGACCAAGATATGGCCATAAAAAGAATGTCCTTTTTAGAAAATTAGCCATATCTCTGAAACCACAGGGACGATTCGGATGTCCTTTGGCCAGTTTGTAGTCCTAGCCAATACAAATCGTTTGACACAGGACTTGACAGGATCTGCAAGGACAATGTTGTGATAGGGCCATTTTCATGTACAAAACGTATATCCCTTAATCTTGGCTGTTTGAAGGACCTTCGTCCTTTTTATTATATTTTCTGGATGGGCAAGGCAAGGACAGTCTGTGGGCCAAAGGACATGTCGAAAGTCCTTAAAATGCCCAAGCTACGGGCAGTTTTGTAAAAGTATCCTTTTTAGAAAAATAGCCATAACTCTGCCAGATCCTTGAAGATTTTCAAAGGACATGGTGCGTCGGGATTGTGGGGATCGACTGAATCGATCCGCATTCAAATATTATGACGTCATCTAAGAATCTTGGACTTGGTAAAATTTATCGCTATGCGCTAGGCCTGAAAACACAACCCTTTATATATTGAGAACCACAAGGACGATTTGGACGTCCGTTGGCCAGTGTGTAGTCTTAGTTAATGCAATTCGTTTGACTCAGGACTTGGCAGTATGTGCAAGGATATGGCCAAGCTATATGCTTATTTGTTGGTACAACCAGGACCTTATATCTCAACTGCTTGTTTACTTTCGTCCTTATTTTATATTTTTAATTTGGAATATGAGGACCATCAGCTTACCAAAGGACATGAACATCAACTTTGAAGTTTCCAATATGTGCTTATTTTTCGGAACAGGACATTCTTTTGACGGCTATAGCTCGAGTGCGGCTCCAAGGATATCGAAAGGATACACATTTTTGAGCTCGTGGGGAGCAGGTCCATCGATTGGTATTCAAGGATTTCCTGGAGTCGATATACAAATTTTCCTCTATATCTGTCGGATAATTTAAGGACTAACTTCGCCATTTGAAGTACTATGGGCATATCCTTTGGCCAGTAGATAGTTCTCATCCTCACATTTTAGAATATACGGCAGGAAGGACGATAGTCCTTCAAATAGCTGAGAGAAATGGAACAGTATATAATAAAAAGACTATAACTCGACTATATCCTTAAATATCCTGACGTATCCTGTGTCAGAAAAGTTGTGTTGACCAGGTCCACCAACTTGCCAAAGTACATTAAAATCGTCCTTCCAGTTTCGATTTTGTGTCTGACGCTCATTTCCTTGCGGGCCGCGACTAAAAATTACCAAGTCCTGGATGGTTAGATGACCCCCCAAAATTTTGATGCAGGTCGATGCGCTTCTTCCTAACAAACCTAAAAGTACAAGTACTTTGAAAATCCGTAAAGATTTGGCCGAGTTATAAGCAATCGAAAATGAAAATTTCACATGACCTGCCGACAAAAAAAAAACGTTGCATACCCGAAAGGGGCACGTTGGCTGGTCAAGTTAAATTTTAATTTTTGACTGCTTATAACTCGGGCATATCCACGCGGATTTTTAAAGCAAAGGTTGCGTTAGATTCGTGGGGATCAAGCAAATCGAGGTACATCAAAATATTAGGGGGTCATCTAAGAATCCAAGACGATCAATTTTTAGCCGCCGTGCTTTAGGAAACACACATCCCTTGACATCTCGGAATCCATAAGGACAACTTCAATATGCTTGGACCAGCTTTAAGTTCTTGTATGTGGAAGATGTTTGACACAGGACACGACAGGACTTTCAATGATACGGCCGAGTTCGGGAATAGCAAGGAATTTGAGTACTCGCCCGTATACGTTCGCTATAATAATGAATATTTTGATTTAAAGTCCGCCAAATTCCATTGCGACCGACTGGCAGCTGGGTCTCCAGATTGGAATAAAAATTCGGCTGGAATACCAGGCGAGCAGCAATGCAGAACAGGTAGACAGAAAACGGCGCTTGAATAATTAAATTGTAAATGCGAACAAACGGAATACGATGTGCACAGAGATAAGGTTCCATTTTGATCTCCCTTGTCACTTGCGCATACGTTTGTCTCTGTCTCGCGCATGTTCGCCTTGCCTAATGGGCAATTACTGTAATTCTTCTCCTATTTTGGCACCCACGCACATTCACGCCTCTACGTTGTTGTTGCAATAAAGAGAATATATGTATGTAGACATATGTTTTTATCTTCGCCTTGCTTTACTTTGCTATGTTAGCATGTCGCCACTTTATTTTGAAGATCAAAACAATCGACGGCTGGCGATGATGTGCGCCTGGTAATTTACGTTAACTCGCAATGACGGAGCTGGCATCGGTATCGAGAGGTTGGCACAAGATAACTAAACATAATATAAGTTAATAAGTCTTAAAGTGAGCTAAAATGACGGTCGGTTAGTCTCAATTTTCAGTGCCTGCCATGTTTTCAGTTGGGCGGAAACCCATTAGAATATATTATTTGTATTATATGTAGCTCATTTTATTGTTTTAGGCAAACTTTAATAAAAGTTGACTTTACTTTAACGACACAGGCACGACTTTCACGTATGTCAAGCAAACGTAACTTCCATCTATGCACGTAATGCGCGTGCATCTCTCAAGGTTTACTTTGTAGTTGCTTCCAAAAATTGAGCAAGAGATGAGCCGAAAAGTGATGCCGGGTTAGCGCGAATTCGCGTAAAAGACTTGGTTGCACAACACAAATTTGTCGTTCTTTTTAATAAAATGCTACAACTAGCTGTATTATTTTGAGATTTCAACTTGTCTCGATGACTACCAGATTCGAACTAACCCGCACAGCGGACAGAGCAAACAGCACACCGAAAAAAAGCAAAAAATTCTCACAAGATGAATTCCCACATAAGCAACAACAAATATTGGTGTGAGCGCGACGCTCAGAATATACCCAAATGTATGCACATATGGTATTTTGCATTACCCTCTGCATATGTTTATGTGTGTGTTTACTTATGCGTTATCTACTTATGCTCTCATGCATTTGCTCATGAGTTATCTACCCGAACTCTGGCATACAATAATTCCTCTTGCGGTCGATAGCTAACTTTCTGTGCGCCCATTTTTTCATCTGCTTTGCGCACTCGCAACTTGGTTCTCTGAGAGTTTAAACCCAGTAGCCAATTGAACTGTTTAAGAAGTTACTGGAGTTGCTGGACAGCTGCTCAAAGATGTTTAAATATTATTATTCGTACAAAATATTTAATTAAATAAATATTTAAAAATATTTATAAATTAACTGCCCTTTATATTCTCATTAACTGAAGCTATATGATGCCAATCGCGGCAGTAATACTTCAAGATAAAAACGGAATTGCATTTAACAAACTGTAGCTGGGCAAATATTTCAGCCTGCTTAACATTGCAATTTACTACTGGGTTTCAATAAATATTAATTTGCGAGTGCGCAAAGCAGACAAAAAATTGAGCAGCCGCCGATAAGCAGAGCGAGCGAGACGGATTGATATGCAGATAGCCCTCAATCAAACACACGCGTGCATAAATAGATAACGCACAAGCACGAAACATGCATGCTTGTGTGTGTGTGTGAGCGCAAGGCGGGCGGAGACACAAAACTGACGATTACGAAAGGCACTCAACGGTGTCTGATTTATCAGAACTGAGAGCGAATTGTACAGAAACACGGAGAGTAGGTTTATTGTAAGCAATCGCACACACACAAACACGCTTGCAAAATTATACATTTATATCTGTTCTCTTGGTCGCAACGAAAAACTTAACTATTATGACGCGCTCGTATTACTAACAGAGGTAAATGTAAGTGCAGCTTTTGTTGCTGTTAAGCAGCTGAACACTGGAGATGAGCACTGCGAACACTGTTGCTGTTAAGCAGCTGTAAGGAGCGCCAGCAGTGAAAATGTTATGTTAAGATCAGTACTCTTGCTGTTAGGCAGCTGTAAAGAGTACAGTCATGGTGCTCTTCTTGATGTTATCGTATAAAAGCAGCTCAAAGCAGCTGTTGGCTTAGTTCGATCTTACCTGTGGGCAAGGCGACATCTCCAGCGTAGTGTGTGTGTGTATGCAGCTCTCACGAATTTTTGATTGTTTTAATGCAGTTGTTAGTCGCATTATCTAAGAATTGAGGCTCTTAGCTTAAATGTTCATACAAAGTTAAGCTCCCCTATTCTAAGATAAGTTAAACTTAATGTATTTTCAATATGAAAACTTTTGAAACATGTGCTTATCAGTTTAATCCAATGAAAGGTATATACAGAGGTTTCAATAATCAAATTTAAGAAACACTCTGATATGTACCTTGTTTCAGATTAGATTGTTGTTTATGCCCATCCGTACATTAACTCCAATTTCTTTGTTCACCTTACAGATCTGCCCAAGTTTGGAGAACTCCTGCAGAATGTCACCGTGCCGGTCGGCCGAGAGGCTGTGCTCCAATGCGTTGTCGACAATCTGCAAACGTACAAGGTAAATCCGTGCTACACTCGAGTATCTTTCAATATGGTTTGCAGTGGGCAGTGGGCGTGTTGCTGCTGCTAGTTTGGAAAAGCGGGCACAATTAGAAGAGCGGCACCCATCGCAAGGTGTTGCGCCTAATGGAAATTGCTGGCGGCGCGCTGTCATTTCAAACAGTTTACACTTCATCAAATAAAACGTGGCATAGTTTCAGGTGCCACGCCTCAAAAACTCTTAGTCCGTGTGCGTGTCCTCTCGTTAAACGCATAATGCGTGCGCCGTTTGTGTTGACCCTTTTTGTAAGGGTTCTTTTTTTTTTTTGTTTGTTTGTTTGTTTTCGGTTCCAGTTACGCTCCCTCGCCGGCAACTGGGCACGTTTCAGGCCCCTTGGGCGCCACTTTGATTTCGTGACCCGCTGGGTGAGGGCCACAACAAAAAAAAAAGGCGGCCCAATGAATTGCCGAAACGAAAATGGCAAACGGTCGGCCACAAATTTGTGTTAGTCAGCTTTTAGGCCCAGTTTCGGTAAATGGCAAGGTAAATGGACCTGGTGAAAGCGCACGCAACAAATTGATAATCTCCCTTCGGTTCCTTGATGATATCGTTGAGCAGTCCGGCATTCAAATGCTAAATGTGCTGCCTATCATGTGGCTTATTCTAAATATGATGTTCCTCCAAAATGGTTCCGTTGCATTTGGGCGTACAAATTGAAAGCTAGTGAATTGATGTCTCACCATATGTAAAGTAGACAACAATTTCTCTACCTTATAATTTGAGGCGCCCTTTCTTATGTGTGTGTGTGTGTGTAAATTGAGTTGTTTAATTCACTGAAAAATGAAACAATCAATAAATTTTATTTAATTTTTAAGTGATTTTCGGTATTCAATATGTATAACCATGCCCAGTTCAGAACTTGTCCCTATGTAAATTAAATGAAAAAGACTTGCAGCTAAATTCTTGAACCTCCCCTCAGCCTGACAAACTGTAAGGGCTGTATGCAGTTCCTACAGCAGCTCCTAAACTTTTACACATTAGCCAAAACGTTGGCCGCCTTTTGGCGACATTTTGTGTCTTTGGGCTAATAAATGAGCTCGAGCCACGCTAGCACAACATTAACATTGTGCCCGAATTGTCGAGCGCTTTAGTTTTATAATTTGTACACACACATAAGTAAGCCGAAAGTAAACTAAATGCTATTTTCCTTTCTGTTTTCAACAATATTTCCTTTGTGCAGATTGCGTGGCTACGTGTCGATACACAAACGATTTTAACGATACAAAATCACGTCATAACCAAAAATCATCGCATGAGCATTACTCATGCCGAGAAACGTGCTTGGATATTGCGTATACGTGATGTTAAGGAGTCCGACAAAGGATGGTACTGTATAAAAACCTATCAAACAATATAACTGTGCTTTAATATTGACGAGCACAACTATTTCATCTATTTAGCATTAAAAGATATATTATATCAAACTATAATTTTGTAGAAATTTTGTTAGATGTGTTGTGTTCGTTATTTTAAATACAATATAGAAATTTATATATTTTTATTTCTCTAATAATTAAATGTTGAGAATTTCTATGTATTTTTTTTTTTTTTTTTATTTTTATTTCTGATATTTGAATATTTGTTTACTTTCCATTTTAATAATTATAATTTTTCGTTTAGTTTGGCTTAAATAATTATTTGCCTTTTTATATATACCATATAAAATATTGATTTTTGAATTTTTATGATTTTTTTTTTTTGAATTTGAACGCTTTTTTAGTTAACTTTCACCGTGCACTGCTTGGAAATTTCTAGCTTTTATTTTCACAACAGAATGGTCTTTACGATTATGTTTATTTCATATTTACGCTGGCCTTTTGCCATAAAATGCGCTCACGCATGCTTTCTTATTGCGCTTCTAAGGTTTAGTTCTTGTTTCATTTTACAACATAAGCCCTAGATAAGGAAAATCGCCTCACATGAAAATATTTACAACCCGCAGGTACATGTGCCAAATAAACACGGATCCGATGAAAAGTCAAGTCGGCTATTTGGATGTTGTCGGTGGGTAAACAAAATAAAATAAATTTCTGTGTGTAATTTACGTTTTTCAACTGCAGCCCAAAGCAGCTAGTTAAGTTGTTTTCATACCCTTTGCGGAGAGTATTACAGTTTTGTCACGAAATGTGCAATTTGCGACTATTAATATTTTAATTAGAAAATTTGCATAAGCGCGAATGGGGAAATTGATGGGCTTTTGACTCGGCCAACTTCTTTCAGTTAGATAAAAAATGGCTTCATTATGAACAATAGGTTCTAAGAAAATCTTTCCTATAACAGCCGCAGGTCCGCAAGGGTATTTACTTGTGTGTGCTGGCTTTTTCTTCTTATGTAAACGTTTGTTTATTGTACTCTGCTTTCTCAAAACAAAAACCCATATAGCTTTTGCAATTGCAGCACAATTACGCGTAAATTAACTTTTTCAAGCGAGTGTGAGTCTGAAACGGATTGTAATTTGTCTTGGCTGCGGCTGGGCGGTCAGCGAGTCGATCGACTGACGCCCACGATTTGTACTTCATTTTGCAGCTGATAGTTTTTTTTTTTTTTTTTTAACAAATTGCGCTAATTGCTCAGCCAAGTGGCGAATGGTAGGTGGCAAGTGGCAAATGGTCTATTTAGGTGTTTCAATCGGGCCGGAAAAGTTGTGCACAACTTCTCTAACAACTGGCGATTGAGTCTAATTGCTGCGGCTGGCAACTGTGTTTCGAGGGGCGTTTGTTTGCGAGCTCTCTCTCTCTACTCGCTGAAAACTATTGGCTAATTGAGTTAGCCAGCTCTTTAAGCTGAGCATGGGGTCGTTTTTAAAGCTGGCTTACTTTTCACTTAGCCAGCACATTAGTTTCGCTCTCTCTCTATTTTTTAGCTGGATTGAGACAATGAACAGCTAGAGAGCACCTGGTCAGCCAAAGTGTAAGGTAATGAAACAATTTACATGCTACGTGCGCCTCGCTGCGCCTCGATGCGTCCGCGCGCCCCTGCGCCCCGGCGCCACGCAGCTGCCGCTATGTGTGTTCATTTCCATGTCCGTGCGCCCACGTTAATTATTCAGCTGGCGTACAAAAACCTCAGAGGAGACAAGCCCAGCGTCGGACCCCAGACAGATTTTAAATGAATATGCCGCCCCCAAGGCTTGGTACGGTTTTTGGTTTGGCTCGGTTCCGGCTTCAAGTTGGCCGCTCGCCGGCACATTCTCATTTTCAGCCCCAAAACCGCGGCATTTTACTACGGTCGTAAGTAACCACTTTGGTTGATTGTGTTTTCATTGATGTCGAAATTCATTACGGCCGCCTACACTGCCCCAAATGTGTATGCCTGCTCAGCAATATGCACAATATGCGCCTACAAACACTTTCGTGCAGTGCAAAAACGCTTTACAACCATGAAGAACTAACTCTGAAATCAGAGCGGAAAACCTCTTTAAGGCCAGTGGCCAGCTTTTCCTACCACTGACAAATTGCGCGACTTTATGTTGCATACTTTTCAGCTTGCCGCGCATACAATTAAATAAAAAACAATTCGAAATCCGCGAAATAAATCAAAAATCAAGCACAAAAATGTATATAACAATCAAAACAAATTAATTTAAAAATTGTCAAGAGCTTTTTGTTTTGCGCCACAAACTAAATCGAAATATGCACTCAAATTTAGCAATTTAGCCCAAACGAGTTAGGTATCTAAAAATAGCTATGGAAAATTTATTCTGGCAATAGAAATGCGTGTGAATTTTTCATATATTCTTGCTGCCAGACAAACATACATACATATTTATGTATATGGCATGCAAATCAAATAAAATGCATAACTAAAAGAATCTCGCGCACAAAAATAGCCAAGAGCCAGCCACAGAGGCATGAAGCATACGGCTTAGTTCAGACAATGAATGCCTTTAACACCATAAGCAAAACATCAATTGGGGCAAAATATATTGTTTCGAATAAATAATTCAATGCCTGGCTGGCTTTCATATAAAAACAATCAGCAGCAACAAAAAGCCAAAAAAATAAAAAATAAAATAGAATGAAAAAGCTAACTGCATTGACAAATAAACGCGGGCAGAAAAAAAATCTTGAAATAAAATCAAAAGGACGCGATTGCAAAGGAAAAATGTGTCCACAATTTTTATGGACGAGAAATTTGTTGTCCATTTTCGGTTTCAGCTTTGATGCATGACAGTGGCGGGCGTTGACCATTGCCTGATTGTGCCCCAGTGGGGCAGTGTGCGGGTCGCGTTGCCAAGTGGGCGCATTCTAGTGGAAAAGCTGGGAAAGTGTCAAAACGACGTTGGGTGGCGTCGAAACTGGATTTGTTGACTCAGTGCATAGTGGAAAATGTTTTGAAAAATGGCATTTTAATGCAGAGAATTTACAACTGAAAAGCAAAAGATGTTCGCGCTCTTTGTGCACCAACAGCTGTCTCCCCCAACATTCTAATCTCCATGAAATGTCTAGTTGAGACGGGCTTATTTAAAAAAATAATTACTTAAAGAGGCATATTCCTTTAAGGTTTATCTGCTTAAATTATGCTAATTTCATGATATATAATATAACTAACTTAATTAAATAATTCAATATACTAAATCCATATACATTAAATATACATAAATTATATAAATATACATTATATTATTGCTTAAATTTAAATAATTTATTCCTTACATATTTCTCGAATAACATAACAAAACATATCTAAGAAATATTTATAAATTAAATGATTTATAAAATTTATGAATATAAAATACATAAATAATATAAAGTCGAAGGAAGGGCTGTTTTGTTTAAAATTTTCTATCGAAATGGCGCATTTTATATTTTCTAATAGCTATATAAATGTTTCCTATCAATGCTTTTATAGCATTAACGCTTAATTTCAGCGCATTTGAAATTAATTTTTATCTTTCAGCACGTTTGAGTACATTTCTTAACTTATCCAACCACTGAGCACAGCGATAAAAAGCGTTTATCCCACACCTTGGCTCACTCTTTTTCATTCTCCTTCTTCCCTTTGTGATTTGAGGCATGCGTCATGGCTGAGCCTATTACGGCCAAGTCAACAGGCGCTGTGCCTACTCGACTTGTACAACATGACGTATACGTAATGTGTGCTTGTGAAGTGAAAACAGAAAAAAAAACCTACATTTTGTTAAACATGCCCATCATTGTTTACACGAAGACTTTTAAGTTTCAATGTGTTAATGTTGTGCGTCATACTTCCAGCTCTGTTTGCCTTTGGTTTTGCCAAAGGTGGGAGCGGGGATGTGTTGGGGAGCAAGGCAATAGCCACAATAAACGCCGTCAATAATTTCTTGAAAGCTGTCTTTGCAATATATACGAGCAAAATTTCCCTACATCTCTAGATATTACGTACATATAACCAGCTGGTTTTGAATGCTCCACTTATTAAATGCACATTTTGTTTGGCAACACTGAGGCGTGGGGGAAGGCAGTAGAGGGACCTCATTAAGTGGTCAGTAGAACAGACTCTTTCCCCTTTGTCTACCTCAGGCCCTCCCTCTTCTATCTCTACCTCTGTCTGACTCTCTTGCTGCTTTTGGGCGAGTGAAAAATTGTCAAGCGTGAAATTATAATTAATTGCCAAGCAACACCAGAGACTGGCACGCACAACAGGCGACAGGTCCGGGCCCGGGTCCGGGTCCGGGTCCAGGTCCAGGTCCAGGTCCAGTCTCTGTTAGCTGGCAGATAGCTCTCGCTGCATGTAAATGTCAAAAAATGGGCACAAGCGACGTGTCCTTGTAGGATATGCATGAGACCTGTGCCCCGTATACCTTATTTGATGGCTTTGAGTGCATAAAAACTTGTTGAAGTAGCCGCACGAGAATTTAATTGCACAAATACCTACTTGCTGGTGTGTATTATATTAAGGTTTACTTTATTTTCTAGGCTTTTCTTTTATTAAATAAACTGCAGATTCAAAGTAAATTGGCCAATTAAGAGCATGCAAGTAAATTAAGCTATAGTTCCTGGAGTAGACTTTAATATACAAATTTGCGTAGAAATGGAATATTGAGTATAAAAATAAACGAAATGGGAATCGAAAATGGACTGAGAATATATACTTTATAGAGAATATATAATAACTGGGCTCTTTGATATTTCAATACAATTTGTGACAAAACTGTAATACGATCTGCTGTTTTAAGTTGCGCTAATTACCGCAAACAATTCGAATCAATTTAAATACAAAAAACTAGTATTTTTTATCGATTTTTAAATTGATTGAAAGTGCAAGTTGTTATGCCGAAATATTTATAAAAAAAAATGTTTTTTTATTATTCAACAAACTAAATATTTGCATATTTAAATATTTACAAAAATCAATTATAATGCTAGCTAAATAGTCAGCAGCAACAAATTTGTTAAAAGCCTGCTGAAAATAAAGCCACTCAACAAAAATTTCTTTATTTCTTTTTTTTTCACACACACATGTCCCGCTGACAACAACTGTAAACCAACCAACTAACTAACCAACCAACCAAAAATGTCAACAACAACAATAACAACTGCTGCTGCTGTCCAACTGCTGACACCTGGCGAACAATTCGCGTACCTGCTCATGCCCATTTTATTGCCGCTTCGCATCGTTGCACGGCCCACGCGGCGTATGAATAATATGTCGCCTGTAACTGTTGCCATAACTATGTGCCTGTGTGTGTGTGGTTGTGTGTGTGTGTCTCTTTGTCCGCACAGTGCCGCCAGACATACTGGACTATCCCACCAGCACCGATATGGTCATACGCGAGGGCTCAAACGTAACCCTAAAATGTGCTGCAACCGGTTCGCCAACGCCGACGATAACCTGGCGACGCGAAGGTGGCGAACTGATACCCCTGCCCAATGGAGCCGAGGGTAAGTGTATGCAAATGTGAGTGTGCTGCCACAATGTGTGAGTGAGTGTGTGTGAACTTGTGTGTTTGCATTTGCACGCTGCATGCATGACAAATGGACTCTGGCGCGGATTCTGCGGGTCAGCATGTAAATTATTTGCCACAATGTCGAAGTTGAGCAAAGATGCGGACAATATCTGCGTGTTTGAGTTACATGAGAGCGCGCTTTAAAGTTAACTTAAGTTCGTTTAATTAGCCTGAAGCTCGAGTTAAGCGAACTCTCTCATGCACACTCAATAAAAACGAACGCCTCAGCATAATTAACGCAATATTCGTGACTTGAGCTCAGAGGAAAGTGTGCTATTGTTACCAGGAAAATGAGGATTTGTAGTCGGGTGTGTTTCAGAGCTTAAAGCAAAATGAAAGGCTTAACAAAACTAAATATAAGTGGGCTGTTCTTGATTACAGGATTAACTGCCTGCATATTTATGTAATTAAATGTAATTAAGCCTAGTTTCAAACATGATTTGACTGCGAATGCTAAAAAGTTAAGTTCCTTATTTAATAAACAACGAGAATGCGAACTTTGAATGCTAGCCAGAATATAGCCAAGGACTATAATCAAAAGAAAATAGCCCATTTAAAAATTTAAATAAATGTTCAGTTAAATTTAAATTGACTGAAAAGCAATTTTTTAACAGGTTTGAAGAGGCTAATAATCCTTATTTTATAATTTTTTTCAAGACAAAATACTTGGCGGCAATTCGAAGTATCTCGTCTAGAGATATTATCTTTAATTTCATAGCTCGATTATTTATTTTTTTCATATTTATTATATTTATTTAGTTATTTAAATCAAAAACTATTCCCTGCTCAATATATACAATTTTGGATTAAATAGAAATATCTTCGCAATATAAGGAACTTAAATAAGTAATCTGAGAGCTAAATATCAGTGCCAAAGACTGCATTAATCAAGACCAATAACTTTATGCAGTCGTTGGTGTGTTGGACAGTGTAGTTGAAATATTGTCCAACTACTCGATTGATGTTTATCAAGCCTCAAGTTATTGATCACATAGTCCATTGACTTTATTGAGGCCAGCCAACAATGTGGCAGCGATAATGTTTGCCAACGTATGACAGGTGCATTACTTGAATCGGCTGAGGGGCAACGAATTCCGAACCGAAAACTCAAATCCACAAATTCATAACCACAACGACTGTGGCTTTGGGTGCTGTCAGTTGGCTGGGCAAATGCAACATTCATTACAGCCTGGCCACTTGGCAAATCGATAAATCGGACCGCCGGGTGGCACAAATTGGACTTCGTCACAAACGAGATGGAAATAAAATGCCAATGTGCAGCAATGGGCAGGGCATACGCATAAGTTTAACTGGAGTTAGGTGAGAGGATCAAAAACAAGGACTCGAGGCAATGACACTGTGAATTACCTTGGCAGCAACACAACAGCATGAGAATTTGTAATTGGCATGATGCCACATAATGCTGCACTTGCAGCATTTGACATTTGCACAGTTACTGTGACAATAAACCAGTGAATATGAATCAATTTGAATAGTTAGAGGTGCTGTGAATATACTCAAATAGGCATGCGGGAGTATTCGTTATAAGCACTTGCCTAAAGATATTTAGTTATTTTATACATTTGTTAAAGTTCCCAAATGGATTTTCAACTTGTTTGCAGCATAATTAATAATATAATAATTATTTTAAATTAAATTTATAAATACAAATTAAATCAGTATTAAAGAATAGTTTGCAAAATGTCGAAATGTTGCTAAAACCGAATGTTTAAAACAAATATGCGCAACTCTGAAAATTGTATTCGCATTTCATAAATCAATTTGAATAGTTTGAGTGTGTTGTGAATAAACTGTCAAGCGTAAAGATATATTTACCTATGGGTGAATAATTGTTAATGGGCCTTCAAATATTTAATTACTTAAGATTTTAGACAAATGCATTTTCTTAAATAAATTTTCCACTTGAGGGCAGCAGTACAAATGTATTGCAATTATTAATTAATTAATAAATAAATAATTATAGATAGAGTCAGCATTTCAGTTCAATATGCAAGCTGGTAAAATATTGTGGAAATTGAATATCAACAGGCAGCTGCATACAATTGGCTGTGAGTGTGTGAATATCTGTGTGTGCCGCAATTGTTTGCTCAACAAATTTGCTTAATAACATAATTAACCGACTTATATTTCTCCTCTCTCTCCCTCTCTCTCTCTTTCTGTTTCTGTTTCTTTGGATTAACAGCCATCGCATACAATGGCTCGTTTCTGACCATTGGCAAAGTGAATCGCTTGAATATGGGCGCCTATCTCTGCATTGCCTCCAATGGCATCCCGCCAACAGTCAGCAAACGTGTCATGCTCATTGTGCATTGTAAGTATGTGGGGAATGGTTGGGGACATGGGGGATTGCGTACTCTTGACTGGGGCGGGCATATCAATTCTGCATATTTAAATATTTATAGTTTTGCGCTAGAGCACCGCATGGCGTCTGCTCCTGCTCCTGCTCCTGCTGCTGTGTCTGTGTCTGCGTCTGTGTCGGTGGCGTATGAGCAATGTGCACCAGACTACTGGAGCAGCAGCCGGAACAGACTGTGGGGCATACAAAGCGCCACTTCAAAAATCGCACCATAGCAAAATATGCTGTGCATTTTAATATGGCCCGAGAGCAGGGCAAACTCCGCTCTGTTACCCTTTCTAGCTCTAGCTGTGTCTGCCTCGCCCTTTGGCACTTTGTCTGTCTGCCGCATACTTTTAGGTGCCATGCATAAAGTAAATAATTAAGTGCGCCCCAGCTAGTTAGCATTTTTAGCGCACTTTTGCATTGCCCTGCCCCGATCCGCGCCCGTCTCCTGCTGCAGCTGCTGCTGCAGCGACTGCTAATTAAATAAAAATTTAAGTTGCTCAACAATTTGACGGGCAACTTTACTGTTAGCTGCGCCGTAAAGCGTGCTGCATATTAGCGCCTGGCTGCAGCATAAATTCCAACTGGCGCGCACAAAGCTAAGCTTGCCAGAGATTTGGGGTTAACCATTTATCCTCCTGGCAAGCTACTTAACTTATCCCAGCTCTATCTCTCACCCGCGTTCGGGTTCGCTTTGCTCGCTGCGGCTTCTAATAAAAATTAAAAAGCAATTAGTTGGATAAATAAAAGGCAACCGCAACAAACTGCGAGCGCGCAACAATAACAAACGGAATTTTATATAAGTGCGAATGCTTTTTTTTCGCACTCGCTTGCCACAGCAACTATCCATGTGGATATGCCATGGCATTCATTTAAGCCACATACCTGAGCTGCCATTACAATTACATTCCCTTATTATACTTAACAGTTCGCGCTCTCTCTTTCTCTCTCGCTTAGTCACTGTTCCACTCACCTTTCTGCTTTTATTGGGTATTTCAGTTCCGCCCATGATTTGGATACAGAATCAATTAGTTGGCGCTGCTTTGGCACAAAATATTTCACTGGAATGCCAATCGGAAGCGTATCCCAAGTCCATTAATTATTGGATGAAGAATGATACAATTATCGTGCCGGGTAAGTAAATCAAAGTTCTCAAACAATTCTACGCAATAAGAAAGCTTAAATCATTTTTGTGATGAGCCACAACAATGGGAAAATCTTAAAGCTTTCAAGCATTCTTTTGATATTGATTGGCATGCATCTATTCAGGAGTTCATCATATGGAAAGCTTCTTACATTATAGAATTCTTGATTTGAGTTGGCTTCTTGGCTCAAACTCTTTTTTAACATATTGCAAAATAAGTTGTAAGTTACTTTGAAAGAATGACTCCGACTTGTATCCCAATAAATGTAATTAATTTAATGCAGCGCCTGCAGCTGCTATGATTGCTCTCAGACCCTTAGGCACAATTTCAACTTAATTTCCTGCGGCCATTAAAAAACTGACCATCCAACGATCCAACCAAGCAACCAACCAACCAACCATTCATCCATTCATTCACTCAAACGCCCACTCATCTTGCACGGCAAATGAAGTGCATGACAAAAAACTGATGGACAAAAAAACCAACAAGGGACGCACCACTCGTAACCGCAGCCTGCACTTGCCCTCGTCCCTGGGCCGGCCTGCCCTGGCGTTCCAGCAGACCTTTGGCTGGTGCTGTAGCTGGAGCTAAGAGCTCAGTGAAAAAGTCACAAATATACAGACAGTTTTTTTTTTTCTGTTTTACTCAGCTTTTCTTCTTTTTCTCATTTATTTTTTTTTTTTTTTTGCTCATGTTGTTTTCAAGTTGCGCCGTGACACAAAATGGAAAAAGTGATTGAAAATGACCTCAAGTCAAAAGCAGTTTCAGTAGCCGGCAACTGTCCACCAGTCGTGAGTTTTTAATGGAGTTTTTTTTTTTCATTTTCATTTTCTTTGTGGAAGTGCGTTGGATTTCAGAAGCACATAAAAGGGTTGCTTTTGGCAGTTCGCGGCAGCCGGAGTGCTAACTTTAAGAAGCTTATGAGAATAGGCTGCCAGGGCGAAAATATATGCGATAGCAGATCCGTCAACAAAAGTTTTCAGCTAAACTACTTTAGTGAATATTATTTCTTTAAAATTTCATATGCGCACTCAGCTTTCATCGCTATAGACCTAAGAAATAATATTAAACAATTTAAGCCCACTTAAATATTATTGTTCTAGCCGCAAAGTTGAATCAGCGACCTCTCCGCTTGTTAGTCACATGATTAAGCTATTGTTTAGATTCTTAAGCAAATTTGTAATTTGGCCTGAATCACAGTTTGAGTATCTTAAACATTAAATCTGCAAACCAATTTTGGTTTTAATCAACAACAACAGGAGCAAAAAATCAGTGTGTTTAAACCATTTGGAAAGGATTTTACTAAACTAATCAGTTGCTTAGCTGCCATGCATAACAATTAGCTACGGATTTGCCAGTTACTTGCCTGAGAACTGTTAGACAAAGTGAAATGCCGGGCTTAGTGCCAACTACTAAATCTAACCGACATCAAACGTAAATCAAAACCTGGCAAAGCAACTCCGTGGGGTGTCTCGAGCGGGTAGGCAGAGGGGGGCTTGGTGTGGGAAAGGGGGGAGGGGGGCAGAGTTGTTCTTGTATAAATTAAAATGAAGCATTTGACAGTGGGGGGGGCTGGGACTGAAGACAAGGTTATCCAAGATGACAACAAGTCCAGGTAAAAGTTGCTTTTTCTTCATTTTATTTTTTCGTAAGCCAAATTACTTTAGCCAGGCACAAGGCCAGACAAAGGACAAACGAGCTGGGCAAACACACGTATTTCGAGCTCAAAATGGAAGTGTGTGTGTGTGTCAGTTTACAAGACTGTTGACTTGGCAAAGACAAAATGACCGACTGACTAGCTGACTAACTGACTGACTGCAGGACTGTGGCAAAACGGGTTAAATTTCATTGCGGTTATATATGAGTTTGTTGCGCCGCCCACACACATCATGTACCTGAAGCAATTACTAAACGTATTTATCTGTCACTCTCTATCTGTCTATCTCTCTTGCTCTCTTTCTGTTACTCGCAGGTGAACGCTTTGTGCCGGAAACGTTTGAATCGGGTTATAAAATAACCATGCGTCTAACCATCTACGACGTTGACATTTCAGACTTTGGAGCCTATCGCTGTGTGGCCAAGAACTCGCTGGGCGACACAGATGGTGCGATCAAGCTGTATCGTAAGTATTCCACGCAACAACAACAACAACAACAACAACAACGGCAAGACACATAACTACATCCATTACCATGGCCATAAAAGTAAATGTAAATGTTATTGCAAAACTGTGTCTAACAATGGGCATAAGTCAGACGGCCAACGGCAATTAGGTCCCAACTATTTGGAGCTCCACCCACTCGACTGTAGCATTTAATTAATTTAGGCCAATGACTGCTGGCACCAAAAACAATGCGTGCATAATAGATACTCAGTTATTGGGCCGAAACTTTTGCTGCCCTTTGACCCAGGTCAAGCCCGTTCCGCAGTCTCAGTGATTGATTTATTAGCTGGCATAGCTGCCACAGACACCACGTCTCAGACTTCGCGCTGCAGCACATTTTCGTGTTAGCCTGCTGCATGGATAATAAATACTTATTTGTTAAGCACAATGAACGATTTATCATTTATTCACAATATTACTGGCCAAATTGGCTTCGTTAATACCCAAATTTGGCTAAAATAATATTATGGCACGGTTAGCTAGCACACAAGACTTCCAATAAAAGCTGCGAGGCCAACAAGAAAGGTTCACGGTTAGAACCAATGCCTCGGCTCAATTCAAGAAGCTAGTTTTTGACTAGGAATATTATTCAAGCATGGTAAGCTTGCAGGGGCAGGCAGAAAAGAGAAGCTCAATTCGAGACTTAAAACAAATTAGTCAATAAAAAGAATATATTTCAATTCAATTCAAGGCGACTGATAAGTTTAAAGCTTCGGTTCTTGGTCGAAAATGTCGGTAATTTATACCTACATCGACTTAATTATGAATCCTTTTTTCCCTCACACTTGTTAACTGAATCTATTTCTTTCTACTTCCACAGACATTCCACAAACAACAACAATAACAACTATGGCACCAACTGTTTCGATTAACACGGTGCCCGTTGTTATAGTCAAGTACAACAAGGGTAAGTTTCTATTAAATTAATATAATTAATACTGCTGCAAATATATCGAGAGTGCTGCCACTCGATAGTTTTGATGGTCTATTGCTAACAAAAACAAAAAGACAATTTTAAATGTAAACAAAAATATATTCAACGGTTAAGTAATATGAAAACTTATCATGCTTATTAAGTAATAATCTCGCCCAGGACTAAAGTGAAATTAAATTATAAACAAAAACGATTAATAACAAAATAATTCCATTTTCTATAGATTTATTAAAGGAATTTAAACAAATATCGAATAATAAATTTAATCAAGTAAAATTTCAAATTTGATGGAATTTAAATTTAGTTTGTGAGAAGGCAATAAATTATATTGCCTTAACAATCAAATTTATTATTTAGATCTTGCATAGATTTTTCTAAATAAGTATAGTTAGAATATTGCTCCAAATTTATGCGACATGGATAAATAAAAGCTTTTACAGTCTAAAAGTAGATTAATCCAAAAAATTAAAAAATAAACGAAATACTAATGAATAATTTCAAGAAAACTTGCATAAATACATTTTTGATGTAAATATTGTGACGACAATCTAAGGACAGATTTTACAAGAAAAAAAATCCCATCGGGTTTCCCATAACTTTTCAACGAGCTTTTAATTGAGCTCCAGGCATCCGTTTCCAGAAATTGTTTTTCACCAACTGTTCACTAAAGCGTGTGGAATAATCGTTTAAAAAAAACCTGTCCTGTGATATAAGGCCACACTCTCGAATAGACAGGACTTTGCAGCAGTTATTCAAGCTATGAACTCATCCTCTTCGATCCACAGAGCAACGTTATAGCAGCAACAGCAATGCGAACAGCAATAATCCCTACAATCACAACAATCAGCTGGGCAACAACAAATCGCAGCGGACCAAGGCCAAGTCCTTGGATCAGCCGCCGCCGGCCACACTGAACAATGTTTACATGGGCGCCACGTCGAGCTTGTGGAACACACAGGATCATCACTCGCCGGGCACACAGCGTGGCCGAGATCATCATCAGCAGCAGCAGCATCTTGGTGAGTGAGGAAGGGGTGACAGGGGGGTGCCAAGCAAACCCCTTGACAGCAGCTTGGTAGCAAGTCAACGCATCGCAAGACACTTCAAGTTGTTTTCTACCCTTGGGCCAATATTTTTATTGGCCAACAGTGAGTGTGTGTGTTTGAGCTTCTCATGACACAGCACAGACCATAAATATTTGGCCATTTATTTTATGTTTATGACAAATCATAACGACTTCAGCCGGGCTTAAGGGCTCTGTCCCGCCCGTCAACACTTGTTAGATACAGATACTTTGGCTCAGCTCATGAAAAATATTTAGCCCAGGCATATGGCCAGCACTCGCCCTCCCCGCCGCTCGCCACTCTCCTTGCCTCTCTCTATATCACTGTTCCTCTGGCATTTTGTCCAACTGTCCGACTGCCAATGAAAATATGACTTTCTAGCATGCAATTCGGTATCCTGGGGCGGAAATAACTCTCGAACCCTGCTGCCAACAATTCTCCAGCTCAGCGCCAGCCAAAGTTTCTTGTGTAATATGCTGCTAATGCGGCTCATCATAATGTACAATCATCATAAATATAAACGGGCACATATCTCGTTATATATATGAGATCCTTGAGGTGTTCAAACACACTGAAGCAAACGCAGCCCAGTCCTGCGATTAAAGTGAGAACGTTTTTTAAGCGCTTCATAAACAAACATTTTTATGAGCGATTTTGCAGTTTTTTATTGAATTGCGTTGGGTGCTTAGAGGATGACTTTATCACATAAAAACCCTCTTCCGTTTCTCAAGATGTCCTGAACAAACTCAGTAATTACAGCCTAAATGTCGGAGGTGGAGGGTATTTTTTCAGTTTCCGAAGGAGCACAATATATTTTAAATTCTGCAAATATATACTTTTGATATTACTTCGATTTATTTTAGTTTTTCTTTCAAGAAATGAGACTTTCTGTGAGAGAGTTTCCAAAATACTTAAAAGACGGTCTGGCAACGCTGCAGATGCTTCAGTTGCATTATGTAAAAGTCAAAGTGTCGCCTCGTTGGTTAGTCACAGTGCCTGCCAATCAATAAACATAAAATTTTACACAACGCCCGCCCCCAGCCCCAGCTTCAAGCCCGATACCAATTTCCAGCCAACTCTGGCCCTGCTTTCAATCGACGACAATATCCATATCCTGTACGGATGAGAGGGGCAAAGAGAGAGGGGCAGCGTGGCAATGCATAAAACTTTACAGGCGCCGAGTTGTAGTGGGAAAATTTCTGCATACGCGTTTGACTAAAATAAAATGCACTCGATAGGGCGAAAGAAAAAATCAAATCGAACAAATTGAATATGAGAGGACGAGCGCGATAGATAGTAATGTCGGCGAGGGGTGGGGTTGGGTGGACGCACCATAAAAATTGCAGACAAATTGCACACAAGGCGTCAAGACGAAGGGCTAGCCCAAGCCCCAACTAAACCGAAGCCCCCTTCCAACACAGCCGCGTCTTGCTACGCCTCTGGCTACAACAATTTTTGGCAAACGACAGCGAAAATGTTGCGTTTTACGCTGAAGGCAGCATGGCGCAAGGGGGGGGGGGGGAGTGAAAGATTGAGGCGCTGTTATGCCTGGTAATGGGTGAAGGTGGTGGAGAAGGAGGAGGAGGGGGGGGGGGGTGTGCTGCAATGACGACAACTTTCAAGCCTGGCATGCAAAGTCGTAAGCGCTGCGTTTACAGTTAGATTTATTACCTGCTAGATGTTGCACATATCGCGCCCGAGCGAGGAAGAGAAAACAAGAGATAGAAAGAGAGAGAGAGAGTTCTGAATAGCGGGTGGGAAAGAGCGAAGAGCGAAGCGGGGGCAATGGGTATGCGCTTATCGCTGCTGAGCTTTGCATATGTCGCGACTTGTTCCTTTTTTTTTCCTGGACTCGCCAACTTTAAGGCGAAACAAGTTTTGCGCGGCAAATGAGAGAATAAGAGAACATAGAGAAGTTAGATGAGAAGATGCCTTATAAGGCTGCGCGCCCATATTTGCTTGAATATGGAAATTTAGTATGCAAATTATATTTTCAATTAGTTTTAATCAAATTTGCATTAAAAATAAGTTTTTAAGTGGATTTCAAAGGGCAGTAAATATTTAAATTATATTCAGCACAATTTTGATTTATTATTTTTAATTAATTAGAATCCACTATTGAATTTTATAAAAAGGAAGACTCTTAGCACTGGAATGTTGCTTAAATAAATACAAAAACAATTAAAAAATTGTTTGTACAAGATAAAGATTTAATACGCTTTGAGACATGGCATGCACAAATATGCTCCTGTATGTGCTTTACTCTCTGCTTATTTAATATATTGTAAGCGTATTTTCTCCATTATATATATTATTTATTTAAATATATTGTCTTCTTAATTCGCTGCTAAGTTAAATAAATTAAAGGGGCCTAACCTATTACTTAAATTTTCCTAATACTGCAAAGCAACATTTTGTAATTATCCGCGAGTTTTACAAATGAATTGAAAATCTGGTAAAAGAATTTGTGACAAATTCAGTTAAATACAATTCAGTTTAGACAGCGCAACAATTAAGTTTAATTACACGCTGCCCAAAATGTTGTAGATGCCATTTTAACCGGACTGCGTTCTGCAGATCTTTGCAACCGAAAACAAAAATGAAATGCTGCAATTGCATTTTGGATGCGCACTTAAACAGTCATTAAAAAATGTTGCAATCAACCACAAAAGCTGCTGCTGCAGTGGTCGCTGTCGCTTTCATTTTTAATTTGCCAACGGCCAACGGGCAACAATATGACCCAAATTACAAGGAAATGTCATAAAAAGAAAAAAAAAAAAAACAAAAACCAAGCGCAACACGCGCCGGAAATGCGACTGAAAGGCGGCTCCAGCTCCTGCTCCGACTTGGACGCCGACTCCGACTCCGACTCCAGACTGCGACTGACTACTGCGACTCCAGAATGATTACTTGCATTCAGCGAGCCGCAATAATTTGCTTATAATTTGCCGCAGCAGAGTGAGAAATGATAAAGTAAATGAAATGCAACAGACAGCAGCGGGGGCATGCAACATGCGTGCCATGGGAAGTGGCATCGCGTGCCTTTAGCTTCCTTTTTATTTTTTGCAGCTGCAAGCCACCAAAAGTGTAACTGTTTCTGCCACATGGCGTTAAATGCATTGCCACACTCTAAAGTAAAAAAGAAGCCAAAGAGAAAAACAATAAAAACCGAAATGTAACGCATACGCCCCATTCGCCACTCAAGTGAGTCTCAAGTGCCGGCTGCTGCAGGGCCTCTGCTCTGTACTTTTTATTTTTTTTTCTGTTATTTAGTGCAACAGGCGCAACAATTGAGGTGTGAATCGGGTCCGGATGGTTGCATTTGCACGAAAGGGTGTCAATTTGAAGGACGCTAATGGAGCGCGTCAAAGCGCTTGTGGGCATGTCCCTGAAAGTATGCAGCGATTTCTGTTACCCATTCGAAAGGCATAATTTAAAAGAGAACAGGCTCGTTAGAAGAGTTGCTAAAATTAGCAGAATACCGCTTCGAATCGTATTATTGTCTTATAGGAATAAAGACAGCACATAAGGAATCATTTAAATGTTCAAGTTTATCTAAATCATAATATTTAATTATAAGAATTACTCGACCAATCCTCTTTAAAAGCTCAATAATACTCAATCCTGAATACTCAATACTCAATACTCAATACTCAATACTCAATACTCAATACTCAATACTCAATACTCAATACTCAATACTCAATACTCAATACTCAATACTCAATACTCAATACTAAATACTCAATACTCAATACTCAATACTCAATACTCAATACTCAATACTCAATACTCAATACTCAATACTCAATACTCAATACTCAATACTCAATACTCAATACCCAATAATCAATAACTAATTATTTCAATAATACTTTCGAGCAAGTCTAGAATCAAAAATATATGAAGCAAAAGTATTGCGTTTATTTCTATTAGCTGAACTTGCCACAGCTTGGTTGGATTGCACCCCAGGGGCGGTGGCATGGACAGAATTATGCAGAAATTACTTAAAGTTTAGTTTCAAGTAGTTGTCAGCCTATAAAAGCTGTGTGAGAAGAAAATAAAGAAAAACAATATTCGACCCGGCAGCGTTTCGCTTCGTTTTTCTTTATGGTTAAGCGCTTTAAAGACACCGCTGGGATTTTCACAAACACACACACACACAGACGGACATAAACACATGCTCAAGCGTCAATAAAAATCAGCCAGACATTCACACACACACACACGCACACACACACACATAAATACTAACACACCCGCGCACATGTAGACCAGCACGGACATCGAGGACGTCGCAGGACAGGAGCAGAACAAACACGTTGCAAGACCAGGACGAAGCTCGTTCTTTCACACATGGAAATGTTTGCAGACGCCAGCAAAACAACCCACAGCCAAGCAGCAGGCGGTCCGTCAAAGGGGTTGGAGGTGGTGTTGGGGGGAAAAGCTGCTTATAGAAAAATAAAAGCCAAAAGACATACAAATAAATTTTGCGACCCGGTGCAAAGCAATTTGCTCACTTCCGTTACAAAAATAAAAGGGTTCCTCGTTAAAAACAAAACGAACCAAACTCTGCTTAGAAATAGCAAATACAATATATATATATATATATGTATATATAAAAAGGACACTCCATGCGATATTTCACATTTATGACAAACTTAGTTCAATGCAATGAAGTTCGACTTGCTTACTTTGGTTATGGCTCATGGAAAGCGCATCTATGCGAAAGAATTTATGTAAAATAAACATATTTAAATTTACAAGCATTTCGAATTCGAAATGTATTCAAGTTATTATTATAAAACGTTTAAAGTGTCCTTCAGTTAACTTTCTTTTTGCTTTCCGGACAGGCTACAAAATGAGATCATGGAGTTCATTTTACTAACTCTCTAATTTGTCTATTACATGTGATTTTATTAATTATTAATTATTATTGTGTAGCCTTCTATTCTATAATTAATTTCTTTATTCTTTTAATATAATATTGTCTCCCGCTTTTGAAACTTTTCGAAATGGTATGATGTTTTGTGCAGGCTGAAGCAGAAAGCATCTTCGACCACATTGTGCAAATTTAACTCTGTCTGTATGAAGGCGTAAAACTCAGAACCTGAATATTTGAACGATTACGTCCAAGAGTCACCAAATTTGATATTTAGCTTCAATAAGAGTATATAGAGACCAAATGTCTTTCATTTTATGGCTTCCTATGTCTGGAGCATTAAGATAAATAAATTTCTTGTTGGCAGAAAAAGGTGCAGGATATCGCCTAGTCGGGCATTTCTCTCAAATAGTAAAAATAAAACAACAACAAAATATTGCTGACTAGAATTTTAACTAAGTTAGTAAAAACATCGCTTACCATACAACATGAGTGTAGCGGAGCTTGGATTAAGTTCGTCATCATTGCCACAATATCTGCAATATAGTTGGAAATAAATAATTTTCTTTTTATTGATTATGTCTTTTTGCGAGGGCAAATGTATTTGCCGCTTCACGTACTTCAAATAATCGTTAGATATTGACTTTTATTTACTCTAAAATTTGTCGCCAATTTGCGTAAATTGTAAATGGCAGCTGAGTTTGCAGCCACAAGCCGCAACCGCACGGCTCCGAACAAGGCTCCTAATGACCAATTGCTGCCTACAGCAAGTCAAACAAATAAAATATTCAAGAATCCGCCCGCAGGAGCTGCCTGCTCCGAGCCAGCCGCACCACATTCGTAGCTGCAAGACACACAAACAAACTGTCCAATGAAACAGATTGCCAGGAAAACAAACAACCAGGCAAAAAAATAAAACAAAAAAGCATCAAAACAGATATGTAAAAAAAAAAAAAAAAAAAAAAAAAAAACAAGAGCAAGAGCAGAAGAAAAAACCCAAAAAGCTGCAGGATAAATTGATGGCAAAAAAACAATACAGAGGCCCTCAAACCAAGCTGATTTCTTGTTTTTTTTTTTTTTTTTGTGGAGTGCATGTCCTGGCGCAAGGGTTTAACGCACTTAAGCAATAAAAATCGAAACAATTTTCGTAGCTGCCAAGTGAAATTGAAACAAAATGTGCGCCAATGGGGAAAATACTTTCGATTTTCGAACCAAAATGGAAAACTGTATAAGTGCGAATGTTATAAATAAGTGGAGCAGTCGGCAATACAGTCAAACTTGTGTCCTTTTTATATGCAATACGTTTCCATTGGGGTCTGACTTGACAAACAAACTGTTTGGTTTTGTGTGCTGTGCCCTGCATCCTGCCTCTGTCTGTTGTTGTGTGTGTGTGTGTGTGTGTGTGTGTGTATTTTATCCTTTCGCATTGCCCGCTTGCTACAAATGACTGGCCATAAACGCATCCTGTCTATTGTTTATGCTCGCTGGCGTGTGGCAAGCGCATAATTGAAAAAGGACATTCGATTGGCAGCCCAACTGCCGGCAATATGGCGGCCAGAGTTATGAAAGGGCACATCATAAAAACCAGGCACGTAAAATAAAGGCATACGGCTTTTGATTAAGCAACAGACACAGACCCAGACCCAGACCAGACCCAAACCAGACCCAGACCAGACCCAGACCAGACCCAGAACCAGACAATCTTATCTAGCTATAAATATCAGTCAATCAATATATATATAAGTGAGGCTGTCCCGACTGAATGACTGACTGAATTGGAGGCAAACGTGCGGACTAATGTGTCTGAGCATTGAACTAACAAGAGAAAGATCGCTGGCTCAAATTCAGCAGCAAGTTGAACCAGGCAACGCCGGTTAATTGCTTCTAGCCTATCTATACATCTTCTAACTCAAACGATATGTTTTGCTCTCTCTCTCTCCCTCAAATATACCCAGTGCCCGATAACAGCGCCACCTATCGGGCGGATGGCAAGAACAACCCGCTGAAACATGATGCCAAATCGCTGACCGATGAAATGGATCGCATGCAGGACCTCAAGGGCTGGGCTGCTGCTGGGCCACTCTACAACAGCCGCAGATCCACCAAATTGTTAACCCTAGTCCTCGCTGTCTACCTGGGGGCGTGGCAGGCCTAAAAATGTGTAGCAAACTTTAAGTGTAATTTGTACAAAAGCAACAAAAATAAAATGATGTCGTAATCCTAAGCGAAATCCTAGTTTGTAAGCGAAAAATGTCACATGTCGATTTGGTCACACGGAAAATGTTAGTTGACATTTTTATTTAGTGCTTAATTCGAAATTGAAATAAATGTAAAAAGTTGTTGTTGTTTAGCGCGTAAGTTGAAAAGGGTTTTCGAATGCTGTCCGCACACAAACACGCACACACACACACACAAACACACAGGTTCTGATAGATACAACGGAAATACAAAGTATTAGCATGTAAAATTCGATGCGAATCGCAATTTGCAAATTACATAGACGTCTTTAAGCTTAGCATTGACTACGGTTTGTGTATATGAAATAGGTACAACAGCTAACGAACCACAACTTAAAACTAAAACTAAAACTAAAACCGAAACTAAAGCTACATTTAAATCTAGGCTAAGTCGAGTGGTTAAACAAAGTCAACCAACTGTCAATGAAATGTTGCTAGAGCCCATTTTATTTAAGACTCATGTAAGCTTCTTTTACGTGCACCGCAACATTGTTTATATATATAAATATAAATATACGTATATATATTGTAATTTTAATTTCAAAAGAAACAAATAAAAATGCCGTCTTTAATTATTTAAACTGAACTTTAAATTAAAAGCGGAAGGACACAACTTCAATTTGCTAGCTTTTAATTCACGCAAGCAAGTCAACGTTATTGTAACAATAATCATCCAGGTCTGGCAATCAGTTAAATTATTGACAATTCGAACCAGCAACCCGCCTTGAGTTGTAAGCGACCCTCAAGGGTCAAAATACAATCGGCTTCACAAAGGCCAAAAGGAAACTAAGCATAGCAACTAAACAATTTATTTATTGACCTTCCTTCAGAATCATATAGGGAAAATAAATTTAATTTGCAGTATCGATTTGTGAGGAGTAAATGATAATCTGTTTCTATCAATCTATCTATCTCACTATGCATATCTATCTATCTATCTATCTATAAATCTATTAATCTATTAACCTATTAATCTATCAATCTGTCAATCAATCAATCTATCTATCAATCTATCATCTATCAAACGATCAATCTATTGATCTATCTATCGATATATCTATCTATCTCTATTTATTTATATATCTATCTACATATATCTATCTATATCTATATATATGTCAATCTACCTACCTACCTATCTATATATCTGATAGTTGTGATATCGAACTGTCTATCGAAGCGCCTATTGATCAATCTACCCATATTTCAAGCTATGTATTTATGTATCTACATTGATATATCTATCTTTTTATCCATTCATCCATATCTATTTCAGCCCCAGCACAATTTGTGCTGACGCCACCCATGGACGACACCTGTTTTAAAATCCGACTTTTAGAAATGCCGGCAAATGAACAAAATGTTATGAACCACAAAATGTGTGCCCAACTGCCGAATTCCGAAACCTTTGCCCCTTGCCCTTTTGCCGCTTGCCCACGCGAAAAGTTTGTTTACGTTTGCCATCAATTTTTTACGCCATCGGCCCACTTGGCGAAATGTTTCATTATGAAGTCGGTAGCTAACAAACAAAAAAAAAAATGCGTAACGCCAACGAGTTTATAATTTAATTTAAAAAACGCAGAGCTAACTACTACAAAATTAAATAACAAAAAAAAAAAGTTCATAATTATTAAAATAAATTAAATGTCTGCTGCTGCCCTCATAAACTCACGAGCGGCCAATTAAAAGCACGTCCAACGTGGCTAGTTTTTGCTCAAGGGTATACGAGGACCGACAATCCAAATAAACTGGAAAAAAGCACTTAACTAGCGGATACCCTGTAAACTAAACTCAAATTTAGAGTTTTGTTACAAAATGCAAACAATTCATAATGCTGACGGTTGAAATACGAGATATAAGTATATGGATGCTCATTCAAAATTAATTTTTGTATTCGGAAATGTTGTTTATAAAGCTTAAAAGTTTAATATAAAGAAAGCTCTTGCAGTTAGCTCAGAATATTTTCTAAATTTAATAAATAATAACTTTGGCTTTAAAGAATCTGAAAGAAAAGAATTTCAGAGCTTGTTGAAGACAAGCAAAGAGCATCTTTGGATTTTTTCTTACGTTGCGAAATAGCTGAAAGCGAAAGAAAGTTTAAAGTTGGCTGTGAAAGTGAAATGCAGCTGACCCCTTAGTCAATATACCCCTTGTGGAAAGCGCTGCGCTGCGGGTCGTAAAAATCGCTACCGCGGCAATTTGGTTGCATTTTCACACGCGTTGCCCCGCAAATAGCAAAAAAAAAGAAGGGAAGTGGAAAAAATTGGCATGTGTGGGATTATGCAATCGCCTGTGCCTTTCGCCCCTTTGCCACCTTTTAACCCTTTCCCGCGGCAGTCCGCACAAAAGGCAAGTTAATAAGAGCATGTGCCGCATGGCCAGAATGGAGAGCGAAATTCTCGGCACCTAACCAAGCGCCGACAAAGACCACACAGCCAGCCACACACACACGCACACACACAAAGGTAAAAGAGCTGACAACCTATTGGGCGAAAACTGTGTGCGAATAGCATTTGACAAAGTATCGATATTGGGCTTAAAGGTAGGCAGCACTTTTTGAGGCTTACTTCATGACAAACACTGTGCACAATTAATTTACAATTTATTGAGGTGTCAACTTAGCCGAGCTGTCCTCTAGGCTGTTTGCTGCACACCTGTCGATTTATGACACAATATTTGTTATTTAATCGTGCAATTGACAAAGTCAATTTGCATTGTAATCAAATATATATATCAATGCACATATGCACATATGCCTGTCATTGATCCGTTTAATCATGTTCAACTCAAATTATTTCGTTAATAAATTGTTTGTCTGGCGTGTTAATTTGTTGGAAAAAATGTCAATGTACACAATGTACACAATTCATATGTTTGCTCTGGTAGAGGCGCGATTCAGTTTATTTGACGATTTGTTTCCATTTCCACTTATTTTCATGATTCATATTATTTTCTTTATTTTCAATATTTTGTTTTGTTGCATTTTAATCTGCAAATAAGTTGACCTAAGAAAATTGAGTTTACAATTTGAACTATATTTTCAGTTATAAAACTGAAGGAAAATAAAGGAAATTTTATATGGAATAGATGACAGTGTGGTGAATATTACGAAAGCTTTGAAAATGTCCCAAAGCTTTCAGCACGCAATTCACCATGGCCTTAGCTTAGATTAAGTTAGCTTTTAACCATTTAAGGCTTTTAAGCTTTTTGTAACTGTTAGCAATAACAGTTAACGGTAATGTTAAATTTTGACAGGAAGAACAAAACGCTGTCATTAAAATTTATTTATATATAATAATATACACAAATTTAAATATATGTAAGAAATAAATATTTTTAAGATTAAAATAATGACTTACAAAAAATTCCAGAAGAAATATAAGGGAATTACAATAAACGAATTGATATATATATACTTGAAAATATGAATAAGGTAGAATTTAAAAAAAAAAACAGTTTGAATAAACGGTATTCGCCCATGTTAGGCTTGTGGTGAGAAGCTTGAAGCCGAAGAGTAAACTTTCATTCGTACTTTTCAACCAAGAGTGGGCAATTTTTTCGAAAAACGTATCAAATCAATTTTTACACAAACCATTGAAATTAAATTTTTTAACTGATAATAAACACATTTCCACAGTTATGGTTGGAATTTCTAAAATCGCTGAACCACGCATTCACTTTTGTGCATAATGCTGCAGCTAATGATGATCTATAATATAAATATTCCATGGTATAGATGAGGCCTCCTTCAAAATAATAATACCTTCTCCAAGGCTAGCATTTAGCGTTTCTAACATTTAATTTCCCAGTTCTCGGTGTGAAATTGAATATTTGCCGAACTCTTAGGCGACACAAATGCTTGCAATTTATTTGCTTAGGCTCAAATGTTTTTTATTCGGCGCTGACTCAGACTGTGAAGCAATCATTATTTGTTCAGACTTTTGGATTGTGCCAAAATATATATATGCTTAAAGATAATAGTTGTTATCTGAAAGTGTGCTGCTAATCAGCTAAGTTACTTAGCATCTTTCTCTATGTCTATCCCAAAAGACTCGGCTCTGAAAAGTGAATCTGTGAAAAAGTGCTTACTTAAAATTACATAATTTATCATAATATATTATCTGTATCTTAATTTAAATGCACGCATGCTAATTATTTGCATATTGTGACGTCAAAGTCATTTTTGCAAGCCCATTGCAACTAGATAAAACCAAAACAAGTCGATAATTTTGGTATACCGCATTTTAAATACTCTTTCAGTATTGTAAAATATCAGAGATAATAAGTTTTAATTTAAGCCAAAATCACCTTTTTTTCGGCAAGGCATTTTATCATATTTTTAAATAAATCCCAAAACGTTGGAATCAAATAACTTTTAGCCTTAAGCTAAAGAAGCCGTTCTTCGAGATAAGGCTTGGAAAATCCAACCAGGGCCTAGCAGCATCTAAGCTAAATGTTTTGCCAATCAAATGTATATTCTATTTCATCCAACACGAAATGCATTCTTGAATAGCTTCAGTATTTACAGTCCGATTTCAGTGCAATTTCTAGATCCTTTACACAAGATCCTTGCACAAGCCTCTAATTTCAAAAATGCATTTTACCGCATTCTAAACATTTAGCATACGAATATGCGGTTGTAGCAAGCGTGACAATTTGCCAGAACAACCAAAAATGCTACCTACCCACTTGCAGGGCATTGTCATGAAGTCATCATGCGAATGATAAAGTGTAACGACGAGTCTAGGTCTAGAGTCTAGAGTCTACTTCTTATCAGCGTGTATAAATATATCAGAGAGCGCTCAGTCAGTCAGTCGTTGATCTGCAGCAGCCTCTGCCATTTCAATTTTAGTTAAAGTTTCAGTTTCAGTTTCAGTTCAATTCAAGCATGGACTTCACGCTGGTCTTGTTGAGCTCGCTGCTCGTAATTGTGCTGGGCTGTTTGCGGCACTGTTACAACTATTG